AATGCGCACCAGAGACTGATCCAGGCTGTTTAGATTATTTTCAAATCTATTCAGATATCAGGACACCATAAATATGAGCGTGTGGACATATTGATGAGTCTTTGGATTTTGCAGAGAAACACTAGCTAGAAAGCGCTTGCTGTTTCTGTCCAAACAAAGAGCGAATCAGTTTCATTTGCCAGATGCTCCTGAGTACAGGCAGGGCTTTTTTTCTCAGAGAAAAGGTGGCGGAACTCAAACCTGGCCACGCCCTCATCAAACCCTAGGACCTCCCCTTTAGAGAACAGGAATGCAAGTAAAATTTGGGAGGGGCTATTTCCGGTGCGGGAGGGGCTATTTCCGGTGCGGCCGGCCCGGAAAAAGGTGCCGGAACGCGGTTCCGCCGCGTTCCGGCTGAAAAAAAGCCCTGAGTACAGGTAATCCTCGAGTTATGACTACCATTGAGCCCAAAGTTTCTGTTGCTAAACAAGACAGTCGTTGTGAGTTTTGCCACAGTTGTTAAGTGAATAATTGCAGTTGTTAAGTGAATCATGCAGACGTTAAGTGAATCTGGCTTCTCCCATTGACTTTGCTTCTCAGAAGTCAGTTGGGAAGGTTACAAATGGTGATCACATGACCCCAGGGAGAGTGCAACTGTCATAAACACAGTTGCTTACCACCCCGAATTTTGATCATGTGAGCATGGGGATGCTGCAAAGGTCATAAGTGTGAAAAACGGTCATAAGCCACCTTTTTTTCAGCGCCGTTGTAACTTCAAATGGTCATCAAATGAATGGTTGTTAAGTCGAGGACTACCTGTACATTGTTCATACCTAATCCACACCTAAAATTGCATACCTTTCTCCTATTTGTGCCAATAAAAAAAAATAAAAATAATTTAGGAGTATTTCCCCATGCTGTTGCGCTTACCATGGTGTCAAATCACCAAACTTTTAATGACAGGTTGATCACTATTCTGCATTTGAAATCTATTTTCTCTCCACTCTAGCACTCTGCTCCAACATGATTCTGGAAGATGTAGCTAGAAGACATAGCAAGTGGAGAATGAGAGGAAAGGATTGGAGATGGTGGCATGATCTTTCCATTTCCGAAGTGGCATTGGCTGCTTTGAAACAGCACTTCCCTGTCCACAAACCTCATACCATTGAAATAGGAATGCATTAAAACTGCCACAATTACAAGCCCCCATTTATAATGTTATGTAATCCATGGAGGTTTTTCTGATGCAAGTACTTGTTTGAAAGACTTTAAGGAGGTGAAACTTTTCATGCAGGTACAAAGCAATAAATAGTAAGCAACAGTAAGCAATTTTCCCTCTTTCATTTCTTTCATTTACATGCATTAGGGTAGAAGAAGATTCCTGGCAGGATGAGTATTTTTCTCAAACTCTAACCCTAACCCTTTTTCTGCCGGTTTTCCCCTCTTTTCTCTGTTCTCCTGCTTATCTGGGTCCTGTGTTTAAGTGTTCTTTCTTTCTAGTTCAAAGAAAACACAGAAAAAGGATTCTTCTAATGGTTTGGGACCAGCCATGTCTTCCAGTATGGCAGTACCCATTGCACTTCTTTAAAAAAAAAATGCAGAGCGTGCCATCCCTCACCCTTGGTAGCCCATCATAGTTAAGGAGGCAGCCAACAAAAAGAGAAGATTGAAGCCTCTGGAGTGCTATCATCCATCTTCGGTGGAGCTTTCTTGACTTCTTGGATCAGATGTTCCAGAGTCCTACCATGACAGCAGACTTACAGTAATTAGTTCAATTCCCCCTCCTCCTCCTTCCCCCCCCCCATTCTCCTCTGCCAATAACAAAATTTTGGTACGCACAATGAAGGTATAACAACAACAGCATCTAACTTCAAGTCAAGGGAAAAATATGTTTGACCATCTGCACGGAGTGAATCAATACAGCCATCCCTGAGGCAAGTCACTCAGTAAAGAACTGGGTTCCCAAAAGTAATATGGTGAAAATATGAGCTTCTTAAATATGAGCTATTTCGTATGATAGAACTGAAATGATTTGCGTAAACATTTTGCTCCTTCTGTGCAAATAAAAAAGAAAAGGAAGAAAAAAAAGTGGCGGAACTGTGGGGTGCCTGATTTAGTATCGATGAGCACAGCCTTTTTTTTCTCTCTCTCTCTCTCTCCTTTTTGGCTTGGCTTTTGGTTTGTGATCCATAGGAGATGATTGATGTACTGCATTTCACATTGATTCTGGCTCGCTAAATTGTTCCAGCTGAAAAAGCAGCATTAAAAACTAACAATTTCCCCGAGTTGAAAAAATAACAGATGACTTTATATGTTGGGTGAGAAGCTGTCCTCTGTCGTTAATGTATTAGAAAAATCACCTTCCCGAGCATGCATGTGTGAGCATTGTTTGAATTTTTGAGCTAACGGTAGGAACATACCGAAAAGTAGGGAGAGATACTCAGTGTCTCCTTGCCAGGGACTAGAGAGTGGCTTCCTTGTACCTTTTTTTTTTAAAGCCAGGGAGTTTTGCCTCTTTGTGTAAGAGTTCAGCTTAGGAGTCAATATTCTGATATCAGATAATTATTTGGGGAAAGGGAGAGCCCTTGGAAAAGAAAGTGTTGGTGGATGACCAAGGTTTCAAACACTACTACTCAAAGCAAGCTGCCAACTAATCCCAATGCCACATAGGCATGTCATAGGAAGTGCCTTGTATCATTCTTACTGTAGGATACATCATGTAAGCATTTAATGGCATAGATCATTATATCGTTAAAAAGCTGAACTTATCTCTCACTCTATACCCCAAAAAAGACTAGTTTTCCCCTTAAATCATTTATCTTTAAAATAAGATACTTTTTTTTAGATGAACAGAGAATCTAGGAACGGAGGCAAAAAAAGAGAGACTCTTTTCTGTTTACGTTATCAGAAAGTCAGATAAATTTCTGATATACTTGTGTGAGAGATAGACATTTCTAGCACAAATTAAGGCTATCAGAATCAGGACTGTGCCCAGTAGTGCCCTATCTGAATCCATCCCACTTCAATTTGATGACAAAATACTCATGCATATTATTTGAATAAGATTTTCGAAGCAACTGTGGATCTATTTGATAATGTTATCAGGTAACCCAAAGCACTTTGCTAATTGAAATATAGTGAATAACTTTATCAAAATGCTTTACTGAAACCAAGATAGACTGCAACTGTTTGTATTTCCAATATCTGTTAATCACTGGATTACAAGAAAGGTTCTTAGAGATTAACTAAAAATTTCTTAGAAAGTTGTAGATAGCTTTGGCACTATCATTTTTCATATAGAGATAAAATCTGTTTCAAAAAGCACATGTAAGCTCTTTAGCAGCCCTAAGATGCAGTTTACTAGACTTTAAAGACTGGATAGCTGTCATAGAACTCATCGGAACAGAGTTCCAGCACCTTTTTTTTTTTTACAGATTTTCCAAGTTTTAAAAGTAACTTTTGAAAATTTGATGTTTGGTCCACATGGACTTGAATCGCCCTGTCGAGCATAGCAAGTCGGTGGCAAAATCATTAAAACGGTGCATGCGGGCTGTTTGTGTGTCAAGTCCAATGCACACATACTTCGTCTGGCTCCTCAGCTTGGGGCACTACTCGGCTTGTGATTGGTCATGTGGTCATGCACTGAGTGCTTACTGCGGGCGACGACCATTAAGTTTCCTTACACAACTGACGTGTGTGGGTGTGTGTACAGTGATTGACTACGTGCGAAAGGTAAATAAAAGATTAACAAGATGTGAGTTCCGGCACCTTTTTTCTTACAAAAGAAGCACTGAGTATAACATTGGAGGAAGTAAATTGATGTATAATAAAGTATACCTGAGAATGAAAATCTAGCTTCAGCAAGAATTAGTAAAGCAAGTTTTAACAGAAATATATTTAACAAAATATCTGAAGGCAACAGTCAGATTCTAATACCTACTAGCTACAACCTATCAGGAGGGAAAAAAAGTATTGTATATCTTGGGAAATGATAAAAAAGAAAGTTCCAGATTTAGCAATTCAGTCAAAAAGCAGGCAGAGAAAAACAAAACAAAAGAGGGATAAAATAACCTCTCTCCATGCCCTACCAAATCCTGTAGCCAGTAAGCTATAAGATTCTAAGGAGTTGGGCTCACTTTCAGCCTTTCAACATGTAGATGTTCTACTGAAGCAAAGATCTTATTTAATCATTTTTGAGGTTGGTCATAATTAATTAAAGAGTTGAATAATTTTCTCACCATTGTAAGAGTTTATTTCTTCCAGTTTCAAATATTATAAAATTTCTTTTAGTTATTCTTAGCATTTTTCTCCTGCCTCTATTCATATTAAGCTTTAGCTAGCCAAAGTACACATTTGAATAGAACTTTGTCTTTCCATAAATTCAATAATAAGTATATAATGATTATTTTCCCTCAAACTTCCCATCAATTTATCTTCCTCAACCAACTTTTCTTAATATTTAGAACCAATAGAAACAATCATGTCCAATCCTGGAATTGACATGTTATATTTTCTTCAAATTCTGACAAAGGAAATTGCTAGCAAGATATGTCAGGTATTTGATGCATGGCATAGCTTTTTCCCAAAAGACATCACAATCGTCCCCCAAATTCTTGCTTTCTTTACATCTTTAACCTCACCTGCTACCACAAATGAAACATTTGGACCCGAGTCTTCTGCATGTGTTTTGCCACGGAACTGGAATCCTTTCCTGAAAGACAGCAGGAAACTTTACAATTTGATCTGAGTGACGGTTTGACCCTGTAGTTTGAAATTCTAACCACTTTACCACATCCACATCTGGGCATCAAACTCAAATTGAACCCAAACAAATAAGGACTGACTTTCCTTTCCTCCTGCACAAAACAGAAGCTGAGCCATTATTTGAACATTTATGTTTGAACTTAGGCCAGAACCTAACCTAAATAAAAGTCAGATGACAAGTTCAGAAAATGTGCCCCATGTATTAAAAGTCAGGGAAACACTGATTTATGGTATGATAAACCTTGTCACTGCAAAGATCAGAGAAGAAATGTTATCCCCCTGGGCTCGTAAAAGCTGTATTACAATAATCAGAAGCCTGGAGATAATTTGTGCTCTTCTAGAGCTTAAGGGGGTTATCTGTGTTTACTATGTATGTAACCTAATAAATAAAGATGGAAATTCTCAGAGCAATATAAAACAGTTCTGAGCAGAAAGTTTACAAGGGAAATTTTAGCATCTATGATTGCATTATATGTCTAACTTTATTTCTTTGGTGGTTTATCACTGCATAGATTCATGGGAGAGAAAAAAACCTCATGTAGTAACTTTTTTTCCCCTCACAGCTGTACTATGAGGTCATCTATTCCATCACACTGTCAGTGCAAGATTGTTCCCAACAGAGTAATTTGGACTCTGCTGTCTAATCCACTTGCCTTGGGAGGCTGTTCCACAATCTGACATATAACTTACAATATGTTTCACTCAGTTTCAAGAACGAAGATGCATTTCTGGTAAAAACAAAAAACAAAAAAAAAACCCAAAGCCCTTGACCTTTGGTAAAATACTTTAAAAATAAAGTATGTCTTAGTGCAAAGAAGGAATTCTACTGTATACTTTGAAAGCCATACTACTGTAATTAATAGTTATCTTACAGTATTTATAATTATATTTTAATTAAGTCATATTGGCCCAAACAAGGCAATGAAAGGTAACCCTAAAAAATACCATTTCCAGACAATGGCTCATTTCTAACCCAAAACCTTGCAAAATGGAATTAAATTCACTCAAATGAATTTCTGTTCTGTATTGTCTCCTGTTTGTATTTCATAATACTCATTCCATTTTGTCCTTTAATTTTCTCAAAAACACCCTACTGTCCCCATATCTATCTATTTTTCTGTTGTGAACCCAAGAGAAGCTGTTTTGAATCTAGCTAGCTACTTGATTGAAAGATGTCTATAGAGATTCTCTGTCGTCCAGGTCATGGTTGTCCCAGAGGTGGTTTTTTTTTTTCAAAAGGCAACTGGACTCTCTTTGTTTTTCTTTGAAGATGTTTAATTTCTCATCCAAAAGGCTTCTTCAGTTCTTAATTGAAAGATGAACAATATGATCATTTTGCATGGAAAAAGATGTACCGTGGTCTTGAGAAGCCATGAAGAAACCTGAAACAAGGAATCTTCTGGGAAGAGAAGATCCTGCTTGTTTTCCAAGCTCAATAATAGACAAACAAACTCTTTATACACATATGCTCACAAACACACATGCACAGACTCATATATCTTTGGAAACTACTATAGTTAGATAACTGATTTTGTGAACTGGACAATTCCTTTCTTTAGGAAGAAGTTGGTGGAGTTGTGATTGTTAGAATGCAACAGTAGATCTTACAATATGGTCATACATCAAAAGGTCTTCCTGCACTACTGAGCTGAAGCACTATCATCTCTCCTTGAGTCAGTAGAAAACTACTTTGACAAGAGATGCATTGTCCTTGTTGCCAGTCCTTTGCCTCTATTACCTGTCTGAAGTTTCTGCATTTATCTGATATCCCTCCAAATTATAGGTGGCCATGCAGATTTTCACAGTGGCAATATAAGCAGAAAATAAATTCTGTGACATATGTGGAATGGAGGCAAAAATTCAGGTCTTTTACAATATGTTTCTGAAAACAAAAACTAGGTTTTCAAAAGGCAAAAACCTGGAGGCTTTTAGTGTAACAATAAGCTGGTTTTGAAAGAAATAGAAATAACAAAATCCAGGGTCAATCATTTGTTAAATATCAGATCTGAAGTGCAAAGTTCCAGCAACCACTAGCTGGCAAATGTTTCAGTCTCTCTTTGCAGTCATCTAGTGGTCATCCAGATTTTACCAGTCCAGATCTGGTAGCCAAGTTGGGTAACTGTTGGCATTCAAAATCATTGACCCTGGCATTGACTTGTAGTCTAGATCCTTCTTTCAAAAAAATGTTTCTGCCAATATTAGACGGCTAGAACTAAATGCAGCTGTTTCATTGTTCATAAAGCCCTCGAACTCTACAGGAGAATTACAAACAATTAAAATAAAGGTTGCATTTCATACTACCCTGTACTGATTATCTACTGCTGCCTATTTTCAATGCTTCCCATATCCAGTTATCCTGCCTAGATTAGTGGACTTCACTGTTTAAAGCAAAGCCTATAATAAGGGAGCATCTTAGAGAGCTCATCTTCAGATCTTACCCTTCTCTTCCATTTAACTGTCACATCAGAATTCTGAGAGGCAATTTCACTGGATTCATAACATCCTCAGTCACAAACACTGAAGTCATGTAGGCAGCTGTGGATCACACTTACCATCAGACAGCCAGAGTTACAGTGAGAATTTCATGTAAGCCACCTCTGAATTGGTTCTGTCCACATAATCATAGGCCTGAAGTGTTATAGCAACAGTGCGAGATGACTTTCCAAATGAACTAATGTAATGTTTAATGAGTTCCTAAAGATCATTACAAAATATGATATTAAGTACTTTAAAGTGACAAATGCTGCAACAGTATAGACTCAAGGAATCCTTTCTTAGTCCAGTCTCTTTTTTAGTTCAATTAACACTATATTTCCGCAACTGGAAATATATCATTCCACTCTGAGGTATCTCTGATAGAAAGCAATTGACAATCCCAGAATCACTGTTCTGTTGCTTTTGGCAAAGCAACAGTTGCAGCAAATAGTCTTGAGGAAGCCTAGGGAGATATCAGATACTTTACATTCTGCTGGTCATTTTCTATTATAGTTCCTGTAAACTCCAGCAGATTGTCTTGAGGGAAATAATTCTATGGCACACTTGGAGGAATGAGTCCAATACTATAGAGCTGGCTGGGCTCCAAATGCCTGCTTCACACATGGTTACACAGCTTGTGTGCTTAGAAATGAACTGATCCTAGCTATTCTGCTGGTCTTCTCAGGTTACAGTCACAGACAGGTTTAGAGGGACAATGTGTAACTGCTAGATCTGGTCAGACTGATGCCAGTCCATCAGCCCTTGATGTGTTCATGGACTCTGAAAACAGAAAGCACCTTTTCCCCAAAGCTTCCAATCCCCCCCCATGTTATAGTACATTATACATTTTTTAAAATGTTTTTAAAGCCAACTCAAACATCTGTCATTTTCCTGTCCATGTAGGGCTCTAATCTGTGTTGGATAATCCTAAGTATTATCTTGCTAACTGTTTAAAATTAAAGATATTGTATAATAATTTGCACACTCAGTTAAATGTGCCTTGGTTCAAATATGTAGATTGGCTTCTTCCAATCTGTTAGATACTGAAATTATCCAGATGCGCTAATACAGCTTGGTTAATTCCATCAATTCTGTAGGCTTCTAACATGGTAATGACCAGAGTCCTGATCTAACCATCATGTATTCTAGAGGTTCGTGTAAATGGGCAATATTTATACAGTAGAGATACTGACATTTTAGTGTGCAAAATTGCAGTATATTTATTACATCTTTGTTTGCTCTTCTTTGAATCAGTTCTTTGAATCAGTTACTACTTCACAAAGTCCCAATGCCAGGATTAAGAGAGAAGAAGATTGTCACTTCGTCTACCTCTGCTTTTTTGATTGGCAAAACTAATCCCTTTCACCTTGGATTGCAGAATTATTATGAAATATTACTGAAATATGAATGAAATTAAATGCATTATTCTGAGCTTGTGCCAGAGTAATATTAATATTAATATTTTAGAAGCCAATTGCTAGGGACTTAAGTATATTCTATGAGCATCAAGAGAAATGAAAAAGACAGTTAATGGGTTTTAGCTGTGCTGCACATATTGTTCCTATGTTGTCTGAGCCAAAATTTGACTTGCTGCCAACACATACAGTATACAAGTAATAGTCAACAAGATTTACAGTTACTTTTGCACTAACACAGCAAGAGGGGAAAAGTTAAATGAGTTGTGTCATTAGCAGTTCAGCACTAGCGACATCCATGGGTGAAATGCAGTGACCTGTCAGCGAATAAAGAGAGATGATGCAATTTTCTTGAATCCAAATGCTATTTTTGTAAAAAAAAAAAAAAAAAAAAAAAAAAAGCTAAATAGCAATAAAAATTTTGCATGCTTCCTTGATTAAACTATGTAACAATCTTCATGAGGCCATCTTTAAGTCTTGGAGACAAAATATTGAACTTCAGAAAGATTTGTTCTTTGGAGTTCTGACTGATAGCCTTCATATTAGGATTCACTAGGGCAAATATCATTTTTCCTGCCTTTCCAGCCATTACATTACATTAACTTGAACCAGTGCTTCTGGGTCTTGCTTTAATCCCAATACATCACCCAGAGCCATTATTGTGAGATAGGTACCCATACAAATTATTTAAAAATAAAATGTTGCCAATTTAGTTTAAATCATATAGCCCCATTATTATTTAAAGTATTGTTTCATTCAGCCTGTTCTGAATCCCTCACAACTCAAAGTATAAAGTTCCTGTATAAAGAAATTCAGAAATCAGCCTTCTCCAACTTGGTTCCCCCCCCCCAAAAAAAACCAACCATGTATGCTGTAATGCCTGGGATTTCTGAGGATATACACCAAAATAGCTTGAGGGAATCAGATTAGAGAAGGCAGACCTAGGTGCATGGTTATAAATTATGTCAGATAGATTAAATCTTTTTTTCATACGATCATGTCGGGTCCTGCCTCTAGATCACATCTCGCAATTGTATTGTTCCAGTTGTGTCCTGGTGCCCATCACATTGAGGTGTAAGATCACAGAAGGATCATGTACAGACAAGCTCATGATAAGAAGGCATAATATATGTTGACTTGAGAATCTTGAAAAATAAGGTAATAGAGAAGCAGTTTTTCCAAGAGAACTTGTAGTTTTCTGAAAGAAATTCTTAGTTTATTAGCAACATCTCCCATAGAGACATCTCCCATCTCCCAACTTATTTTTCTAAGGTGCACCTAAAAAGACTTGATTTCTGTTTTCTTTAGCATAAACATTTGCAAATTTGGTTTCTAGAAAATATATGAAAATCACAATGCCCTAAGGTGTTCTAAAAGGAAAGATTTAAAAAGCTGAAATACCCTATTATTCACCATATTGCTTTCCTTATCTCTTATGACAAAAGCAACATCTGTACCTCTTCAGATGTTGCTGAACTACCATCTCCAGCATCACTCTCCATTCAGAATGGTGTCTAGTATAAGCATTTAGTCCCAAACCCTAGGAAGGCACTAAATAAAAAAGAGACACAGTAAAGGTTGGCCAAGGGGAAAACATATTTCAAGTTCAATTTGTTTTTGCAGATTCAAGGATGAAGTTAGCAGTGTAATTGGGAAGCAGGCAAAGGCCCCAACCATCTTGGTAATGTTTGATTTTGCAGGAGGCCGGCAAGGGGTTTTGAAATGTCAAAAGCCTGGCTACTACACACAATTAAAGCCCCACACTTTTTTAATGTATGTTACATGCTTGGCACACATAAAAAGGGGACAGGATTGCATGTGTTTTGGAGTATGTGCGGTTTACCTTCATTATCACATAAAGCCTCAAGTATGCATCACAGCACGCATCATTGTTTTATGGATCTTAAGCCATGGATTTCAGCCCATGGCATCTTATCCAAAGTAGGTCCTCTTGGTTCATGAATGAATGAATAAAACCAGAGACTTCAGAGAAAGGAAGAAGACAGGACTCTCTTATCTACTGAGGGAGGCACATTTCCAGCAAAAGGGGGGGGGGAGAAAATGATTTTCTTAGTGGGAAAAGAATATAAGTGGATGGTTTGGTTCTTGTAAGATTCTTTTCTTTTGCACTTAGCCATCTTATTTTATTTTGCTTTTGGAGATTTTTATTAAGGGGAAAAAAACACAGATTAGAATACATAGTGCTAAAAAAGCTATTCTGGAAGTCAGACATACACTTCCTCCAAATTAGGGGCATCAGGTGAGGAGGGGGTTAAAAAGTCAAGATGATGACTATGACCATGCAATCAAAGCTCCACCTCGTTTTATTTGCATCACATCCTTTAAGTCAACTGTCTCCAACCTTTTCGGCTTTGTGGACCAGTGATGGCAGTGACAGTGGCAGTGGGTGGGGGAAAGAGAGAGGATGCTCGCAGAAAGGGAGCTTTGTAAGCAAGGGTGTGGGCCTTCCCACCACTCACACAAGTACAGCTGCATCCACGAGTGCCCTTGCCCGCCACTTGCATGGCCCGGTACCGGGCTGCAACCTAGAGGTTGGGGACCCCTGCTTTAAGTGTTTCCACCATCTCCCTAAAACCTTCTTGTGCAAAGCTAGTCCTTACCACAAAATTGCCATTGCAATTTTGGAATGCAAAACTGGAACTGCAGCACAATCCAGATGGAAACAGATTCATAACTATGGGCTCCTCAAGCTTTACTCTATTGATCTCTGATGTAAAGGAATCAAGAAAGCAGGCTATGATTTAAAAGTCTTTAAAACTCACCATTGAGTGATTTTTCTTAGAACATTAGACCTTGGTTTTTTTAATGCTTCTATTAAGATATGCAATATGGAAGAACAGCATTACGGAATGAAACTTATGAGTTGTCTTCCTCCTTTCTCCATTCTTGCAGGATTCTTCACTACTGATGTAAACAATCCTTATAAACCTAACATTTATTCTGAACCAGTATCATTCTGGCTAATGTCTGCAGAAGCATTGATGTATTTAAGATACAGGAAAATGGAGGGAGAAATCCACAATAAAAAAAAGTATAGTTAGTTAACTTGTTTGGATTAACCTGGGTTCAGCATGTTCAGAATTAAGTTTTTGGTCACTTTTAAACAAGAAGTTTTCTGTCCTTTTCTCTGGGGTGTAAAAAAGGGAGAAGCCAAAGCCCACTGCAGCTGGCTCATGAAATGCTAAATGATTATTTATTTTACATCTAAAATGGAACTTAACATGCTAAATAACAATATTTTAAAGGAAAAAGAAACTGGTCTATAATGATGTGAATCATATCTCCACTTAATATGTCTAATGAAAATGATCAGACATTCCACTTAGTTATTCAAGGGTAAATATTAATATTTAATTAGAAAGTTGTCAAGGTATTATTTTCATAGCCCTAATAAGTGCTATAAAAGTCAAAGTAAAAATTATGCGAGTTCCAGAACATGTCTTATCTAAATCTATATGAACTGGAAATATTTGGCAAGGGATTTAAATAATACAAAACAGGAATGAAACCTGTCCTGGATTTAACCTCAGAGAAATTCTCCCTTATTAAGTGCACATTTACTATTTTCCCTTAACTGCAAATATTCTAAGTTTGTATTATAGTACACTAGCTTCCAATTAACTTGGAACTATAGCCACTTACTAACTAGTATGGAAATGCAAGCTATGTTAGACACTAAAGTGAAAAACAACAATGTAAAATAATATTGGCCATTTAAGATTCAGGTTAATGAAAAGATAATAATAATAATAATAATAATAATAATAATAATAATAATAATAATAATAATAATAATAATAATAATAGTAATAGTAATAATAATAATAAAGTTGGGAGGGACCTTGGAGGTCATCTAGTGACCATTTCACCTGATGAAGACTTTTCAAACTTGTCATTCCGAAGGTCTCTAATAATTTTAAGAGGGTTAACAGGCAATTCCTCAAAGTGATTAGAAAGTGAGGTTTGCAAACTTAGTGTCCTTTAAAAGGCTGCACTACAGTTGCAAGTAAGGTATCTGATCCTGTTGTCTTCTGGCACTCAAATCCCAGAAAATTACTGTCCTGCAGTCTCCTTGTATAGAACAGTCATCTGAAGCACATGTGGGCAATCTCCCATTCTCTCCTTATCCGGAAAGACTCCAAGGAACCAGTTTACTGATGAGTTCCTTGGTCTTTGCCATAATTGCTTTTATGGAGCTATCTTCACCATATCTCCCTCAGAAATTCTCCAGATCAAAACATCTATCTGAGAGTGATTTAAGCAAGAAGGCTAACCTATCCCAGTAAACTCAGTATCTCTTTTGGAATTCCACTTTTTAAAGAAAGTATCCTATAAGGCAGTGTTTCTCAACCTCAGCAATTTTAGGTGTGCACTTCAATTCCCAGAATTCCCCAGCCAGCACTTTTTAAAATTGCCAAGGTTGAGAAACACTGCTAAAAAGCATTCCTGTATTTAGGAGTTCTAAAAGGAGATCCCTGAGGAAAGATTTCCAACTAAACACATGCTTTGTGTTTAGAAGGCTATGAGTTCAAACATGGCAGACATTTTAAATTACAACTTGGTGGACTTTTAGAGGGACCCTAGTGTCAGTGGTACATCCCTGATGTTGTAAAATGAATGACTTCATGCAGCTTTTCTGTTCAGTATCTTATCTTTAAATGCAGTATTACACAGATGAACTGCAAAAACAGCTCCACTTTCACATCAGGTCTGATAATCAAATTGATGTGGTTCTTTACATATTGCATTGAACATGCTTAGAGGATAGAAGTAAAATTGTATCTGCTGGCATTGTCCTTTGCTCCCATTTGACATTACCTGCCAATCAAGGCTGCACAAAGTTTTGGAAAAATTGCTTTGGAATATGTCGGAGCATGAACACTACTTCATTCTGTGACTCATTAAAGCCACCCACCTTAGGATGGCATGGTAGCATTGGAGAGACTTCAGGATATCCATGCATAGGCTGTAATGAATTGCAAACAGGGGTTGTATTTGTGCTTCTGCATATTTCAAAGCATGCCTTCCAAACTGAATCTAGAGTGTTGATCAGCCATCTTGTTAATATGTATTTTATATATGTGCAAACATATATTGTGCAGACTATCAGCAAGAGTTGAATGGACTCTAATCTTGCACACAGTATCTTTCATGCGTGATGATGAATGCTTAAAAGAAATAAGGAATGCAACCATCAAGTACTGTATACGCAAGTGAGATCATCACATGTAAATTGCTTCTTATCAAAGATTCTCATCACAGAAACAGAGAAGACTTGAAAAGGAAACCTAACAAAATCTGGATTCAATCATTACTTCATTCTGATAAAAAGGGCCACTTTGAGTAAGGCCAGTATTTGTCCTGACAAATGATTTATACCTACGGGTTCCTACAATTCCCATAAGCTCTTTTCACATATAAAATAAATACCTTCTGAAAAATATTTACACTGTTAACTCTTCACACTAACCCCTAGGAGCCTTCTGTCCATTTTCATACCCACTTAATTTATAGGACAGATTATGCAGTTCTTAATCATTTTCCACAATTCAGGAATTATCAACTCTAAGAGAATGATGTTCTTGGTGTCCTTTCTTTTTTGGTCCTCAGATTATGGTCAGCATCATTTTTCTCAG